AGTTCACTTTCTGAAGCATTCATTTTTGTGACTAAACAGCTCTTGAGATGTTGCAAGCCCAGTAATGTTATTAACACTGTGTGACACACAGAAAAGAGGAATTAATTTGACATAATCATGGCTTAAAGAAAATAAAGGCAACCTCATGTGGAATGCTAAACTGCATATCTAAAAAGCAAAGTGTTAAATGAGAATGAGAATAGAATTCAGTATTTTGTTCTATTGTAGCTTTTTTAATATAAGCTTCACCTTCCCTTAATCTGAAGGACAGATTCGCTTTGAAATATTTAAATTATAAACTTCTTAGAGTGGGATTTCAAGGCCTGTTAAATTTGAGTGCCTGCTTTTTAAACTGAAAGTGACCTTGATCATTATGTTGTTTTAGAAGTACGTCATTCATATGCTTACAAAAGTCAGGTTTACTTTTTTTTTTAACTGCAGATTAAACAAATACATTAAAAAACAACAATCACTTTCTGTGCTTTTTTTCAACACAGAAAGTGTAACAATTCCTCTCCTTTATGTACACTTCAAGAACTGTCTTGAGAGGAAAACAGGGGGATCAGCAAGTGAAACACTGAAGGCAAAGAGAGGGAAATGAGACTATATCTGAACTAGACTGTTGCTGTCTTTTCCATCTTGAGGCACCCAACAACCTGCTTCTTCCTGTCTCCCCCAATGAAACAAACACAAAGTAGTCTCCTTCTGAAGACACAGAAAAACTTTCTTGTAGGTGATCTCCATGCCTACACATTCTTAACAAAATTAGTTCTTCCTAACGAAGGCTTGTATCGGTTGTTTTCTGTAGGTAGTGACAAAGCATGTAAGAAATAAAGCAAGCATCCTACTCATGGATGTGTCACATATAGCATGTACATCTCCAGAACACTGCTGTACACGCCATGCCGAGAAAGCCCCAGTGATCATACAATTCATTCATTTCCAAAAGATATGCAACAAAATGCCTTCTGCAACTCAAGCTTCAAGTAAGCAGATTGCTATTTACCTACGTATCAGGTTCAAAGAAAAGAAAAGATCTCTTGCTGTAGCAAGGTTGAAAAATCTTTAGCGCAACATCTAATTTTGAAGGAAAAGTTCTGAGGCCACACAGGAACGACAATAAAACCAACAAGCCAACGATACGAAAAGGTGTAGTGATATTCCCTGCAGTGGTGGCTCAGACTACAGCTCTAACTATCCACTAGTACAGCATTTACTACCAATGTTGAAGTTTTTTACTGCCACCACAAATATAATAGCTTGGCACACTAAAGAGGTTACAACATGTCTGCATCTGGGGAGGTGGGAAGTGGGGATGTTCCTTCAATCTGACCCTGCACCAGCAGAAACCAGTAGAGAACCTTCTTTTGGCCAAAGTTTATGGGAGGAGGAGAGAAAAAGGAATGAGCTTGTCATCACCAGTGTTTCCCACCACAGGTGGGTGGATGTTTGTCAGAGCACTGCAGTTCTACTATCCTTAAAATTTAATTACCCATGTGACTGTGTACTAAGAGGATCAGGATGGCAGAGCAGATTGGAGTTGAAGACGGGGATAAATTCAGGCTGTTGGAAAAGAGAAGGAAAACAGGGAACAATGCCATAAGGTTAAAAAGACTGAAAGCCAACGATGGGAAGGCAGGAGGAGTCTTCTGCATCTAGAGTTATCTTTCTCCCCGCTAAGAGTAAATGAACCTGAGCATCTCCCTTTGTCCTTTTTGATATGGGAATCACCTTCCACTTGTACCTACACTGAGAAAGCAAAAAAGAAGCTGGGAGGCATGGAAGTGTTGGCAATCTGTCTTCTGCCTCCCATGCAACATTTCAACCCTACTGCAGCACAAATTCCAAGAAAGTTTCAGTGAAGAACAGACTGATCAGCTGTTCATGCAGTGCAAAAAAAACCCAACAGCAAAGCATAAAACTACAGCTGGCAAAGTACAGACTGGTGACTGACATCAGGGTGGACAGAATCTCTGCTCAGAAAGGGCAAGAGTTAGGCTGAACCAGGAGCTCAGAACCATCTTCTGCTTCTGAGAGGCTCAACTGATCTTTTACAGACACTGCACATACATCACAGATGAGAGAGGCAGCCTTCAGCTGCAACACGCAGGCATCTTCCTGCAGAACAGGAGCAGAGAGTAATCCCATCTGTGGTATTAAACTATTGTTACCTCTCGCTGTCCTGTTCCTATATTTGCAACAGAACTATGAATCAGAGCACTGCCTGGGTCTTCTAGACAGTACTATCTACAGATGACCAAAAGGCATGGAAAAAAACCCACTCAAGAGGTTTGAACACAATTAAAACATCATCCACTTTGTCCTTGCAGGCAGTTCTGTGCCTCCAGCCAACTCATTACCAGTGCTGCAACAAAATCCACGCACCCTCTCCAGTCCCAAAGGAAATTTCCTGTCACTGGTTTCCTTCAGAGCCTCTATTCAACCTCCAAGCTCCCACTAGCTTTCTCTTGACCTAGGGCTTCTGGAACCATTCTGTGTGTGTGTGTTTTGTCAAGAACAAAACATACTGTTGAACAAAGCTCATGAAGCACCTTCCCCCCACCTTTGTAAGGAAATTTTGCCTACTGCTTTAATCCAATCACCTCCAAACAGAAAAAACCCAACACACACACACACACACATCCCACATTCCCCTGCCCCAGTATGGCAACATAAGTTGCCATTATTAGTTCACCCAAGTGCTAGGAAGGCACACACAGATTGTCTGCCTGTGCTCCAAAACATGCTGGAACTGTGTTTAGACCTGCACACTGGGCTTACAGGATTGAGATGGACAGGGAGCTCTACCACTTGATTGCTACAAGTTTTAGCCTGAAGCTAAAGCATTATATTTGCATTACATATGCCTCAAGAGTACATAAGTAGCAAGGCATTTTATTTCACTTTTTGCCTTAAGCTAAGTGAATTGAATCTCAAAGCAGTGAAACAGTACCCACTTAATACAAGAATATATTGTGCTTATCCGACGAAATATTCCCATGGTCTTTCAGTAAGTGAAAGTAGACAGAGGAACTTCCTCTGTGTTCTCTTCAGTAAGAGCAACTTGACTGGCAGAAAACATCCTCAAATTACTTTTTAATTTCTATTTAAAAGATTTTTATCTAGACTTTTCCTCAAAGCAAGCCTTTGCTAAGGGCTGTTAAGTGCTCTGAATGACATTTATAAAGCAAGGCTGGCCAGGAGACAAGAAGCCAATTTTGTGACAAAGTGAAGCGCTCAGCCACTTGTCTTCCTTCTACATTAGAAACGAAGAAATGCCTTTCAGAGCATAAATAAAAAGCAGCAGAGCACTTATCCAGGAGAATCGAGTTCAACTACCTATTGCAAATCAAGTCAACTTCAAAGTCAGCATCCCACATGGATGGCAAATGCTCTACATACCAAGCAACTAGCTACTCAGAATTCTCTGAAGGGCAAGAAATGCCTCACTGAAGCTAACAAATCTTCACTGAAACATGGCACAAGTATATGCTTTGAGAAACTCTTCCAAGTAGACACTGTTCGGTAAGAGTCAAGTGGTAAGGCACACAGAAAACCCTTCCTAAATCCAATCCACCTTGGTTCATTGTGTTCAAAGAGCAGGGTAACATTCAGTTCTCAAGGTTATCAGATTTGACCTTTGGAAAACATGAATCAATTCTGAAGCCAGCAGTGATGCAAGAGGAACCACTGCCCAGCTTGCACCTTGAGATAATCACAATCTGAGCACATCAAGAAACTGCAGTTATGTTGAGACTGTAGTCACCGTCTACAGCCGCCCACTAAGACAATACAAAGGTAAGGTATAAATCTAAAAACACACTCTTTTTAAGATTTGTGAGATTTTTAAAGTCTTGGTATTTCTCTACTGCATAGGCATAGTAACAATAGTAGGAAAAAAGCCACTGCACTTTCCCAGCCTCACTGCAAAATCTAGAGATTGCTACTCCTCAGAAGAAACAGAATACATCTTTCCTTCTTTAGGTTTCAATCATCATTTATTACTTAACAGCTGCAGACTTCACCTGTCCTATTAAAACACCTGTTCTAACAGCCTTTATATTTTACCAAGCTCATCCAATTCACACTGCAGTAAAATAACATACCCAATATAAAGAAAACAGGCAGAACAACAAAATCTGGAAAAACCCACATAACCAGGAATGCAAGGAAAAGTGGCAAACAAAGCAGCATCCAGTGGTTAGCGAGGAATGAAGTGGCTTTCAGGGTGCTGTTAATATCTGCAATTTATGGTGTTTTCCAACCTGATTTGTAATCTCTGGATTCCCAAGAGACAGTAGGCATGTTTAGCACAACTTTGAGTTCATCTCCCTTTCACAGAATCCCTGAACAGCTGAGATAGGAAGGCATCTCTGGAGGTCACCTTGTCCCTGCCCAAGCACAGGCACCTCGAGCCAGGTGCCCAGGAGCACGTCCATATGGCTTTTGAGCATCTATAGGCCCTTGCAGACTTGTATCCAGGTAGTACAAGCATAGACAGTACTTACATTCTCAGTTCTTTTTCTGTAAATACCCTTATTTACAACTTGATCATGATGAAAAAGCTGCACTGATGGAAGCAATTAGGGACACAGAGGCCTTTCAGTTTCCAGTGTTCAGAAATTACAGAATTTAAATCAACTGCTTGCTGTCTTTCATTTCAGGCAGTTGCAAAAGATCCTTCTTTCTGAATACAGAAGGCAGACAGGGGACCCACTTTGCTGTAAAAAGTTTTCAGTCACAACAAACTTTCCATCTTCCATCACATATGACTGCAGTTCAACCTACCACCCAGGTGGAAGGATTTAAAAAATGGGTGTTTTGTATCTGCATCAACAATAGTAATCTCACTGTCTTCACAGAATGCACATTTTGCTCCTATACCTGCCAGCTTTATTTTATTAAGCACTGTATTCAGTGTATTCACATCCTCACCTATATGATTCCCCCATCAGAAAACAAGAATACCAAAAATGAAATAAAGCAGCTTCCATGTAGAAAAAGTTGTATTTACAGTTTTATTTAGCAGAGTTAAAGAGCAAACAATTTTAACACTGTTGTTGAAAAGTGTTTTTACCCAAAGTTGCCAAGATCTAATAAGTTATTGAACAGAAATACCAAGTGTAAGGCAATAATCCTGACCAGCCATTAGAGATCACCCTATCCCAAAATGCAGAGCTGATAAAGGCAGTAGAAAATTTAGACTGATTGACTCAACTTCCAGAAATTAGACAGAGATGATAAAAATAGGGTTCCACTGTTGAGTGTATCTTTAACATCTGCGGATGAAGGAATTTCTAGAGCACGCAAAATGTAAAGACAATTCCTGTTTTCAAGGGAACACTCAGTGCTTTGAATCCAAGACTGCTACGTCCATACACAGTGGTCAGTACATGACTATGGCAACACATAGATGGTAAAGATCAAAAATAGGATTAGAACTTTTTCCACTCCACGTCATCAGGAGGATTTACTTCTACCTTCCTTTTACCAACATCAGACCAGTTGGTGCTCAGAACTGTGCCCCCAGACTCCATCTGCAACACGAGAGAAAAGCTCGTTCAGTTTGTGAGACAATTCTGGGAATATCAAAGCCACATTTCTTACAGTAAGCATCACAGAGCAGCGATTACACAGGAATTCCGTGTATATGTGGAATCAAATGTGGCAAAGCCATCATTCCATAATCTTCAGCCCAACAGCACTTTGATCAGTACTGGACACAATGAGATGCTACTTCATTAACAAGAACCTTTCGAAGGGTCAGTCACAGACTTGCTTATGATGTCCACAAATTAAACTTAGATACAAGCAATTAAGAGGTATTTGATTCTATACAACTCAAACCCTCCATATCCGTTGACAACACTGATAGAAACAAAGAGACCAGTGACAAAGCACAACCTTGGCCTTAAAAAGTCACATTCATTAGTATACAACACTGTAGCTTTCAGTGAGAATTGCTGTGCCAGTATCTCCAACAGAACCAGGGCCATTCATTATAGGCCAAACATTTTGGTCCTACCAACTTCCCAACTGATGCAAAGTTTAGGAAATTGTGTCACACATTTCTTCAGAAAAAAGAACGAAGACTTACAAATGATTTGTTCATGGCACGTTTCACTTCATCAGTACCATCTGAATAAATCTGCTGAAAGAGTTTATTTAAAGCAGCATCTCCTTCTAACTTCTCATTCTTCTCCTCTTCTTTGATTTCTACTACCAGTTTGTCCCAGTTCCTTGTATAGTGAGAGGATGATGGATATAAGTTCTGGGTATCTGAAAACAGAAGTGTTAAGTTACCTAAGCATTTTCTCACGACTTTCCGAGCGGCAGAGAACACAGACATATGCATCCGATGAATCAGAGATGATAATGCAACATGAAAATGCAAATGGATTCCTCCTAACTGATATAAGCACTGCAGTAACAAAAATAAATGAAACTAAGAAATGCATAACTTTATTTTTAAGTAAACAGTTACATAATTTAATTATCCAACACAAGAAAAATGCAGCTGGTCAACAGCAACACGGAGAATTAAGGTCAAAATGAGGCCAGAGATGTTGGCTGACAGAAAAAGGACCAAATAGGAGCCTAGAGCCATAGGAAAAGTTGAGCTAAATTTTTTTTTCACAAAATCTGAAATCACTAAACCAGGAAATTTAAAGATAGATTGTTAATCTGTCTTGAAAAACTCCAAAGTATTAGTTTCCAAGAAAAATACAATACTTAAGTACATAATACTTACTTATTTAAGCAACAGTAGATGCATAAGAATGCACAGTACTGCAAAAAGTGGCCAAAACACATGGCCAAACAGATGAACCCAGAGGAATTAATGACAAGCATCCATCAGATTAATGGAAGTTATGACTAAATTTAATACCTATGTTTCACTAATGGCCTGCAGACTTTTTCTGTCAATTCTTGGCAGTGACAACAAGACTCTCAGGCGTTTCATTGCACACATGAAGCTGTGATTTTATTAACAACATTTAACAAAAAACTATTATTAATAACTGCAAGTAACTCAATACAAGTAAACCATTTACTGCTTAACAGTCCAGAGAACAAACCTGGTGTAAATTGTTTTAACTTAGGACAATCTCCCTGGCCCTCCAGCTTCTCCCATCTTACAGCCTCTGGCTTCTTCATTTTTATCTCAACCTACAAAACACAAGACAAAGAACAAATTAATCTAGACAGCAAACAGTTATGCCAAATAGCTTAACTTTCTTTAGTTTACTATTCACTTCAATTTTTTGCAATTTATGGCATTCCAAAATGTAATGATCAGTCCCAATGGCTCTGCACTGCCAAGCACCAAGGTATTATCTTCCAAGCATCCCTTTTTTGCCAGTCAGCTCTAATAATTAAACAGCAGTTTTGAAAGACTACAAAATCCAACTTTATCTAACTTTACATTTCATCCACGAAAAAATTTCACTTTTGATGTTATGTAGTACACAAACCAGAGAAACACCCTGGGACTGTGCAGATCTTTCCACTGGAGAAATTCAGAAGTTGCATTCACTTGGTTCAATGAACAAACACTGCTATGGAGAAAGCTGTCTAGTATTCATTGACAAAACTGGCAATTAAAAATGGATATGGTTGCAATTACCACAAGAGAAACAAAATTAAGTGAAGTATGTCATGCCCTATTCATGACTACATATAATCTCTTTAGACAACCATACTGAAATGTTTCTTCGTAATTAACCTTCTCCTTTGGTCACAGGGTTATGAAGTTGTAAAACAATATCTGCAAGACAAGGGCTGTCTAATGTCACTCCACTGCACTTACAGAAATGTCACAAAGTCCGTATGATGCTACTAATCAGCTGAAATCAGTGCTTGCTAAACCTCAGCAGTTCCTTATTTGTGACCAGCTCAGCACAAGCGAGTTCGTAGTTCTACCTAAAGCCACTACAACCTGGGGATCCCTGCAGACCCAAGAACAAAGGCACCACTGTAAAAGCTAACCTTAGATTCTAACACAAGCTCCTTGCACAGCATCATGTTGACCTAAAATCTGAACTTTACTGAATCCATTCTTCAGATCAATCACTGGGAAGCAACTGACTGCGATATAAAGAAATGAGCTCACTGAAGTTTCAAAGCTTCCATGTTTGCAATCATGCTGTATTTTGAGAATCAGAATGTTCAGTTATGATTGCTTATTTCTTTCCCCTGGGGAAGCTAGCATTTCCCTAGACAAGTTTAAATACTTATTTTCCACCACTAACTTGTACTGAGAACAAGAAAAAGTTTAAGACATGAGGCATGAAATGCCCTTCGAGGCAGGGCAGAATTTCAGTAAGTTTGTAAGTACAACACCCACACGTGTTCAACTTTCCACTCCCCACGTCTGTTGAGTTTTCATTGGGTTTAGCCCCTTACAAGTCACAAATTAAGCATTAATCTATCCTTTTTAAAAATAAAGCCACAAAACCAAAAGTAATTAAATTAAATTTAAATACTGTGTGAGTCTAGATGCCCAACCTACTGTCCCTAAAGAAGGGCTGTATTACAGAGTTTAACACTGCAGTCTGTAAAGATGCAGAGATTTCTGTTACAGCGTTCAAACTGTGCCAGTAATTATTCTTCAGTAAAACAAAAGAAATCAGCAAAGCTTCCTACACTGGACTCTTTTAAAAAGACTTTGGAAATTACAACCTTAAAGTTCATTTTTTAACACCTACACTCATAAATCTAATGCTCTGCAATTAGTTCAAGGAAGCAAAAAATATTTGTATATCTAAGACAATAAAGTAGTTCCACGAGTGGCAGAACTAGCAGGGTTTTTCCCTCAATGGGTTTGGATCTCATGAGTCAAACATTTAAGTTAATTAGCCACTTACAAAGGCACTAATTAGTTACAAGTGAAACCTGAGCATTAATTTAAAACAACTTGTCTCTGCTCAGCTTCTTATATAAACTCTTCCCAACCCGAGGAGACCCTTTTATCAATTCAGTTGTGCATTTAAGTTGAGGAGGCCTTAATTTTAACATTTCATGCTCAGCTAATTAGTGCATCCCCAAATATGTTTAAAAAAAAGGAGCAAATGCTTGATACTGAAACTGCTTGACCCTGTACCTCTTCGATTTCTCTTCTGTTTTGTTTCTTCCTTCACTATCTCCTCTTGCCCTTACATTTCAGGCTTTCCACCAGGATCTTCCAGTATCTCAAATACAGACTGTCATCCACACCAGGAATGACCTCTAATGCAATATAATGCTTGATGTGAGTTACTAAGCATAGACTTCTTTTTACTCAGAACACAATCCTCCTCGATGAGCCCTTCTGAAGACCTCTGGCTGCTCAGAATACTCTGCCCACACGTAATATGAAGAAAATAAAGAACTTTACTTTTGCTGTTCCAGTAATCCCCCTCTCCTTTTTTTTTTTTATCTGCCAGCTCTCACATTTTCCTCTGAAACCCTCTCTAAGCCAGTACTACATGACAAACATCCCTAAGGAAAAGCAAATGATACAAACTATGCAGATTCCCTAAATCTAAACCATTTCAACCCTGCCAAGCTCGAAGTATAGACAGCTGAAGAACTGAGACAGAATGTATTTCTGACATGATTAAACCTACCTCATCTACTCCATCCACTCAATTGAAGTTACTCATTAGGCGAAGTGGCAGGCAGAAGCAAAACTAGGGAAATCATTAACTTCATACCATTATACAACCATATTTTCCAAAAATATAAAGCTATGAAATTCTGCTTGTGAAGGCGCGTATTTCTTCAACTTGAGAGCTTTATTTGATCTAAAGAGGAACAACTTTGAGAGCCCCAATTATGTGCACAAATGGCAATAAATGCATTTTAATGAACATTTGAAAACAGATACTGATAGCTATCACACAGAAAAGTGACACATCAGTACGGACATTTGTGTCATATCTAGCACACCAGCACTGTTAGCTTTTTCCTCTCCTTTGATAAAAAAGTCACTTGGGCAAGAGAAATACATCAACGCTTTGCCAACCACTTTGATTTAACATTTATATTTCATAAAACGTACGCCTGTGTGCCTCTTGCCAACTTCAGAATAAAAGACAGGAAAATTTAACTGCAAATTAAATGCTCTGCATGCCACTTAAAGACAAGTCTAATTCCTCAGCCTGCCCTTGTAGCTCATGCCACGCAGCCACCTGACCATCTTGGTTGGTAGCCCTCCACAAGGACTTGCTCCAGTACATCAGTGGCTTTCTTGCATCAGGAAGCCCAGAACTTGACAAACTACTTGACATATGAGAAGTTTCAATGCAGATATAATATACTTTTATTTTTTTAAGTTCTTTGTATTTTGGGTTCAAAGAGAACAAAGCAAAAAGGAAAAGAAGCATGAAATTTTGAGAGTAATTCATGCACTACTTGTGAGAAGAGGATCTAAATGGGAGATTCATTGTCCAGAAGAATCCCCAACCACAAAGAATAAAATTCTACTCAGTTTTCTAGTCATAAAAGAAACCAATTTTTTAAAGCCTACCAGAGATATAGACATGCTTGTTTGCAGCTTAATCCAAGTGCTAACTATCAGAAAAGATGCCAGGTTAACTCTCAAAAGCTATTCTGAACCATTTCATTGATAGCATAAAAACACAAAAACCCCTTACTTGAAGATGACAGGCATAAAAGACCATTTAATCTACATTTAGGAAATAATTTCTACCCTTTGCTAAGACAAACACAACACTGTTTAGCCAACATTAATTTTCTAGGTAAGAGCTTACTGTGACAAAGTTCAAACCTCTGATGAACCAGATTTCACTTGAACTTACATTCTGGAACAGACATCATCAGTTGAACTGAGATACATTAAAAGGGAAAGAATTTTTATCTTCCCCCTCTACAAGGAGATTCTGGTGTACACTAACAAGCTCCCACATTTTTTTTCCCTCATTTCTACTGTGTTTTATATTTTACAGTCCATGCTACAAGGAAAGTTCATTTACTATTGGCAAATTTCTGTCAAGCTCTGATCAGATGGATGAAGGAAATCACAACTGGCAAAGCTTCAGCAGCAGTTCAGCCATTAATTTCAGGATGCATCAAAAATACCCTTTTCAATTCTGATGTTCTGTTATATCAAGAGCATGAGAAAAAGAATTCAGTTTCTAATTAACTACTTAGTTATTTACTGAACTAATAGCTGCCTTTTCCGAGTTTTAAATTTTAAGTGTTTACAGTTGTCATTTTGCAATCATCTCATCTATTTTGTAGGACAAAACAGCATGACCTTCTAAAAACGTATGACCTATTCAAACTTACCTCTAAGAGCAGGTGCACATATAGTTATTCAAAGACCTTTTATATATTGCTTATAGTTGAAATGCTAAGATCTTTCATCCAAAACTTTAAACAAAATATACTGAGATAAAAATAACTCTGCAGTGTTATCACAAATAAATGATAATTAAGAAATTTGTTCTGTGGGGAGTATACTGCAACAGAAGGGATTTATCATGTGCCCTTCAGTTTCTTTGCCAGCTACATACTATGGAGAACTGAGGCAAAAAGGTGCAAGTTTCCTCCTACTGATATGACATAGCCAACACTTATTAAATTTCTGAATTTTAGAGAAGGAGATAGCAACACAGATCATTTAGGTATTCTAAAGCTATTTGTCACTGCATTCTCAATGTGAACCATTGCTATTCCAATAGTTCTTAAATCCATCTTTTCTCAAGACAGATAAAAACCCTCATGCAGAGTTTTCTTTTATGCATTTATATTATATAAAGCACGGGCACTGACTTATATGCTTGTTTAAAATGTAGTTCTCAGAGTATTAGCAAGTTTAAATCTGCCTCACATCTATCTGCATTCATACAGAAGGGAAAAAAATAAAATCAAACTTATTTTGAGCCAAGTAAATACCATGACAACCACTGGGAAGGTTTCTTTATGGTCTATCCAGCAAACTGCTCGAACTAGCCCTGCCTAAAAGATGCAAGAAATTTCAGCAAAGTTTCCAACTCATCTTAAATATCAGTTTACAGAAAATGCCCAAGAATATATATGGGAGATATGAATCTGCATGAAAGCCTCACAGAGAAAACAAGTACATGAGAGCAGGGAACTCTGCAGTCAAGTGCCTGCAAGCAATTTAATGAAAATATCCAAAGCAAGAAAGTGTCTTTTAAGGATTAGACTGTAATGGTAAGAACCAACTTCAGTTAAAATAAATCTGTTCCTCTGTTTATCTATTTGTGTACACTTGCCTCTGAATAGAGGCTCTGATGACAGTCCAAGAGCGTGTAAAACAGTTCCACTCTTTGCCTTTTCCTTTACATTCAGGAACAGGCATCAGTTCCAGTTAGCTTCACAGGGTATTTTTCAGAGTTTGCAAAGCAAAATATTGGTTTGAGGGGAAAAAACAACATTCCACTGATGCACACTACCATATTCTTGGCATGAAGCTGCTCAGAGTGTGCTTCTACCTCAGACATCTCTATTAAGCAACAAATGTCAATTGCAAAAGAGGCTGAGGATTTCTAACACCTCCCCTGTTTGCAGCACAACTTTGATTTCTAATTAAAGGGCAGTTCGAGGGTAAAGAAACCACTTTTTACCACTTTTTCAAATGGCTCTGAATTGTTTCAAGTCATTGCTTGCAAAATGCTCAAGACGCTAAAAGCTGAAAACTCACAGTAATTGTCCCCAGACTGTCTGCAGATAGGCAGAAAAAGAGAAAGCACTGTCAAGTTTCCTTCAAGCTCCTAAGCACATGTGCTAAAAGCACAGACTCATCCTTACTCTCCTCTTCTAGGTCTAAGGAGAAGAAAATCCCAAGCATCACCTAGAACACATCAGAAGACCCAGGGAAACTGCTCACGTTACATAAGTTTCCAAGAGCACATCGCAGACTGTTCCCCTGGAATCCCAAATATACTGACTGATAGACTGAGTGGAAGAGGGAAAAGAAAGTGAGGCTGGTTGTGCACAAAGAACCACTTGATAACTTTAGAAATCCTTGAGCTATTTGTGCATTTCTACCTTCTTGACATATCTTCTGGACAGATAGAGATCAGCTAGTTTCATCTGAAACATATTTAGTCAGTTATCTAAAGCTTTTAATGCTTTTTTCCTGTACAAAGAGAGCATGATGATAGTATGCACACTTTGCTACAGAGTAACTGCACACAGGCAGTTTCCAAACAGCAAACCTGGTCCAGCCTTTACATTTTGGCTCCCTCTCCTGGAATAAAGTAAAACACCAAGTAGCACCACTATAGGCATCTTCCTCCTGTTAAATACTGAACCCAACGTGCAGTTTTCAGCATGGCAGTTCTTCCCCCGCTTCACCCAACACCTGAGGACAGCTGAGAATGACCAGCAAAACACACAAAATCCTACCTACTGTGCACATGGCCATGCTACATACGAAGACCAGGTCAGCTTCCATTTGCAAGAGACACATCTCAAATTTATACGCTGCTTTTTGGAGCAGCTGTTACTTTTCGCTTGATCAGATTACTACTGTCAGATGTCTTCAACAGATGAGTACAGTCAATGATGTCAACTGATCTAGTTATGATCAGATTAACTGTGCTATTCATGTACAAAATATATATAATAATACCCTCAAAGGAAGGGCTCAGTACAGTGGCACTCAGTATTTTCTCACACAAACTCAAGGCCTTAGATCACCAGAATTATATAAGGAACACCACTAAGTAATCCTAAGTAACTTAGGACTCTATGTGAGCAGGATCCATAATCAATTCAAAGCTGAATTTGTAAGCAGTGTTACCTACTGAACAGCAAATAAATTTCTGAATGAGGTAAAACAAACATGGCTTCGATCATGGCAATAATACATAGTCACTATGAAAGGCAGTCTGTACCACCTGTAAAACTGCTGACAATTGGAAATCTACAATACTAGGATGTGTGAAGAAAGATTGAGATTTTATCCCAAAACTGGACTTCACCCACATATTATGCTGTTCTTAAGTGAGCATCGTGTTCTACCTCTTCAAGCTCACAGCCTGAAGTCCAAGTCTGCAGACCATAAACACTAATTTACTTCTGCTCATACAGAAACCATTCAAAGCTCAAAACATCTATCTATGCTGCCTCTGTACCACTTGCTAGTTCTGTTCTTTTCCAAACAGACTTTGTATCTCAGAGCTAGACACAGCATGGACTGATTGAAAGGTATAATTTTTATTCCATTGCTGGGAAAGAAACAATTCTTATGCTATCAACTGCATTTTGCACCACTTTCAACATTCCCTGAAAGAACCAATCCCAGAGCCTATAAGTTCTGTCTGCTCTTTGCAGTTAATTTAGAGTTGCTAATTCTGCAAATACAGTTAAGGCTATTTTCTCTCCCTGGATTTGCATCTTTCTTTATTCCTTTGCATTTGTCAAGTGATGCTGAACTTGAAGCAGTATCAAGAAAGGCCTCTATGACTTCTAGGTTCCAAAATACACAGACTGTTCTACTATCTGCCAGTTCTGTTGTTTCATCCTCTATCCATCGCATTTATAGTTTTATGAAGTTCATGGGAAAGCCAAACTATCCACCACGTAACCTGCTCATGCATTCCACTGTTTCCTCATGTATTTCCCCATATAATGGAAAAAGAATGACCAGACTCTTTGTTGCCCATTGAAGACTATACCATGCTAATAGCAACATAGCTCACACGTTCCAAGCAGCAGCACAATACAAAGCAGTGTGAACAAATGCAGCTATTCTTATCCAAAACTACTAATCCACAGAAATAGATCTGCTTTTATCTCAGGAAAACTCAATTTCTTTAGGCGTGCGTAGTAAAAAGTTCATATAATTGGGAAAATAATGGGATTGTGTCTTTCTTTCCAAGTCCTTACAAAAGGACTTCATGTAAATAGTGCAGAGTAAATTGTGAAGGGTTTAAGAAGTTCTAATCAATAAGATAGTTTATTCAAAGCAATAATTGTATTTTCCATACTGCTCTTAAGAACAAAGTATGCACACAAAACCAAAGAAATCTGCACACTAAGGCTGCGTCATTCCCTTACGGTGCTTAATATTTTTCAACGTAAAATATTGTAAACCTTTAAAGAAGTCTTTGAATGCTTAACATAGACCTGCTTTCCATTTTCTTTTGCTTCAGCCAGACTCCATCTGCTGGTCGGAATGGGAACCAGCTGGGGCATCATTTAGATTGTATTCCTTCACTATGCCTCCACAGATGACCTTATACTACTCTTTCCTGCCAAAGAAAGAACATGCTGAAGCACTGACTTCTGCAGTTAGAAAGCCTTCTGTGTTCCCTCCTATCCCATTTTGTCTCAAAAATGGTCTCTCACAAATATTAGTAAAAGTAACATTTGAAAATCAATGCATATTTACAGTTCTGCCACTGCCTGAACATAACTACTTCACCCTACTTTTGGAACCTCAATCTAAACTAGGCTTATAGACTACTAGAGACTATTTGAGATGAACCCAGGCTAGAGATGGCAGTGTAGAAAGATGAAGTCAAGTGAATTTCATAGTGCTCAGCAGCATGGAGATGTTTCCTAAGAAAGCAATGGTAAACTTAAGAACAAAATGAAAAGATAGGTGAACAATGAACAAGATAGGTGAGAACAGAAAGCAAACAAGACCTCACAGCTACTCTTCTTGACAAAGTCTGTGCCTGTTCCACTCAAATTTATATAAATACTAGTGGACTAGTAGATTTTCTACATACTTTGATCATTTTACTTATCCCCCACAGCCTAACAACCCACATGGCTCAATCACATAACCTTCCCAGCTCCTTAGTGCAAGGAGTAGGAAAAACAAGACTAACTTTCTCTGGTAATCCTCTCATGCCATCTTTAAGTCCCTCTTCCCCTGAAACAATGCAAGAACTACTATAGGCACCTTTCTCAGAAGGAAACAGGTAAAATGAACATGAGCACACAACAGGAATTTCCATAAGCTCTGCAGAATCACTGCTGAAATACAAAGAAAGAATCAACATCACATT